GAGGGAAAATGTAGCAGTATCGGTTCTCGTCTGTCTTCCCCACCGATAGTGGGCCTCTTGCCCGGGGGCCCGGGACCCTTCTCGTTCCCATTTGCAGCTCTGCCTCTGAGCGCGCTGGACGTATTACATAAGCACTCGTTGCATGACCCTCCTAACCGGGCACCCTGGCCTGGGCCACCCCCTTTGAGGACATGCTCGTGGTTGGTGGTTTCTCCCAGGTGTGGTTGGTGGCCCTCGGCTCCCTGGGTGCCGTTGGGACCGGGTGGGCTCCCTGGGACGGGCCTCGGCCATTCATTCGCACTTGCCCGCGCGCGGGCCGCGGAGTGGTGGGCAGGCGCGGGAGAAGAGAGGCCTGCAGCGCCCCCGCTGGCGGGAGCCGGCACTGCTCGGGCTGCCTGGCTCGCTTGCAGCCCTCGTGCGTTCCCCCTTGGATTCCAATTTACAACCAGAAAATGAACACAGACCCTGGGATTCTCTACCCTTTTCTCTCCGGAGGCGTAGTAAATACTTTGGAAAGGATTTTCTGGTTGATGAAAAAAAAAAAAATCCTTCCTACTTTTCTGCTAACCTGGGGTCCTCGCGTTATGAATTCATTATTACATAAAGGGGGACTTCGGTCTCATCCCTGTGATCACGGCCATGCATTCTGGCGCAGGACGGATCCTCTGCGGGGAGCGGGGGCCGCGGGCGACGGCGGGGGGCCCCGAGCCTGAGGCCTTCGCTGCGCGGTGCCCGGCGGCGGAGCGGGGGACTCAGATGTCCCGCTAGCGGGGACCTCTGTGCTCCGCGGCAGCCGTCCGCCCGTTATCCCGTTATCCCGGGGGTCGCTTGAGTAGAGCTTGTCCTGCCCTGGCCACTTGTTTGCGCCGTAGGGGTCACCCATTCTTAGGGAGCTGGGAGGTGTCAGGCACCTGTGGACCGCTACTTCGAATCACTCACTCATGTAATTGAGAGCCCACGCCCCGGGCAGGGCGCCAGACCGAGCGGATGCCACCCCTGAGGCCGATCAGCCATCTCTGGGGCTGGGGGGCCCATGGGGTGGTCAAAAAAAGAAAAGGTTAGGATTTCAGGGATCTGTTATCTTTTTTACTGCGCCAGACCGAGCGGATGCCACCCCTGAGGCCGATCAGCCATCCCTAGGGTTGGGGGGCCCATAGGGTAGTCAAAGGGAAAAGGTTAGGATTTCAGGGGTCTATTATCTTTTTTACTGAGCCAGACTGAGCGGATGCCACACCTGAGGCCGATGATCAGCCATCTCTGGGGCTGGGGGGCCCATGGGGTGGTCAGAGGAAAAGTTAGGATTCCAGGGGTCTGTTCTCTTTTCCTGCAGCATTGGCTCGCCAGAGGAGGCCTCCTGTTGCAGAGCCTGGAGCCAGGGTTGGGGGGGGGGGGGCGGTGTGTGGGTGTGTGGAAGCTGCGAGAAGGTGGTGGGCGCAGCATCCTGACGGCGCCCCCTTGCGGAGCTAGGCGGCGGCGGTGGGCGGAGCGCTGCGGCGCGGGGCGGGGCGCGGGGCGGGGCGGGGGAGGGCGCTAAAAGCCGGCGCCCACTGGCTCGGCGCTGCCGCGGCAACCAGCTCGTCCTGGCGCCTCCTCTGCGGCAGTCGCAGCTCGCGCATTGCCGCAGAGCCCGGGCGGCGGTCGGTCCGCTGCTTGCCGCGGCCGGGGGCCCGCTCGCCGCCGCCGCTTGCCGCGGCCGGTCGGCGCTGCCCTCGCGGCTCCGGCGCCCGCGCCCGGCCCGGAGAGCCTGCCGCGCGGCATGGGATAAGACGCTGGCCCGGCGCGCCGCCGAGATCGCCTGCCCAGGTGGGTGCGCGGCCGGCGGCGGCGGCGGGCGGTGAGGGGGTGTGGTGGGATCGGCACTTGGGGTGCTGGCTAACGGGTGGGGGGCTCCGGTGTGCGAGCCGGGGGGCCGCCGGGCCGCTATCCCTGCAGCGGAGGGCGGGAAACCCCCCTGGGAGGCCGGGTGTGTGTGGGGGGGACCGTTCTGCGCTATCTATTTGGGGAGGGGGTGTCTGTTACGCACAACAGAACTCGGGATCGTCCCGATTTTTGGGGTTTCTAGAAGCCTGGCGCGATTTAATGAGATTTTGTTAGACCTCGGCGTCGCCCTGGCGCGCTGTAGGGGTTTTTAGATGACCCGCGTTGCATTGGCGCGGTTTAGGATTTCTAAGACACGGCGGCGGTGGCGCCCGGGTGCATTTTAGGATTTTTTTTTTTTTTAATTAAAGATCCGGCCGTCGCTCTGGCGCAATTTAGAATGTTTAGACCCCGCCGTCGCCTTTGTGTAGTTTAAGGTTTAGGATTTTTTTTAGACCCCTCCGCAGTGGCCTCGGTGCGATTTAGGATTTTCAGATCTCGCCGCCGCCGCCGCCCTGGCGCGATGTAGGATTTCTAGACACGGCGTCATCCTGGCGCGTTTGCGGGTGTTAGACCCCGCCGTCGCCCTGGCGCGGTGTGGGATTCTCAGACTCCGCGATCGGGATGCTGGTGCGATGTAGGGTTTTTAATACCCCGACGCAGTGGAGGGCTTTTGGAACCCAGCGTCTCGCTGGCGCGCTTTAGGATTTCAGGACTCCGCTATTGCCGCGGGGCTGCGCGGCGGTCCGAGCCCAGGTAGGGTTGTGGCGCAATAGGATTTCTAGATCCGGGCTTTCCCTCGGCGGCATTTGGGGTTTTAGCCGCAGGTAGCGGCATCGCGGCGCGGTTTGTTTGCAGTCGCGCGGCCGTGGCGCAGTTGCCGCGTCTGGTGCCGGCGCCGCCGGGACGGTGTTGCCGCAGAGCGGGGGCCGGGACGTGCCCGCGCGTAAGTATATTTGGGGTTTTTCGGTAACGGGAAGCCTGGCGGGGACGGCGACGGGGCCAGATCCATCGCCGTGTGTGGCACATGGATTGTCTGCATCGGGTTGCACAGTAGTCCCTGGTCCCACGCGATGCCTTACGGTGGGGTTTGGCGGTGGTAAATGTGTTTTTTATTTTATTTTTTATTTACGAGATGCAGAAATCGAGGCCGGGAAAGGTTGATTTCATTTCCAGAAGGTTTGTGCTATGGCGTGCCACATTTATTATTCTGTTGGCGTACGGCTCATAAAATAACGGAGGTGTTTGGTTAAAAAGGCTTTAATTCTTGTTCATTCATTGCTTTGCGGGCTGCGCGGCGGCTTCGCTAACTGAAAAGCCTACAGCGTCATTGGGGGCATTGGCACGGAGGCGATGACGACAGAAAGCGGCTTCCCAGGAGGTAGCGTCTCGGTTTTCTTGGAATGAAGGAGGAGGAAATGTGTGCAGGGGGGCGGGGGAGCGGAGGAGCGGAGTGTGGAGTCATGTCCCTCCCTCCTCCCTCTTCCCTCCTCCCTCCCCCCGCCCCGCGGGGTGGGGGTGCCGCGCTGCGCGCTCCTCCGGCCCCCTCCCTGGCTCCGTGCTGAGTCACTGCAGATGCCCGGCTGCTGGGACCTGAATGAAGGAGGGAGAGAGGGAGGGAAGCGGGGGAGGAGGCGTGATGAAACGCGCCCCTGAAAAATGCATGAGCTGAGTGTAGCACTGAGAGCCCTGAGGAGAGGGCAGCCTAATGGTTTCTGTCATCTCATCTTTCAAAGAGACGCTGGGATGCGCCCCACTACTATTGTGAGGTGAAAACTGAGATGCAATCGTCACGTCCCATGCATTAAAAACACACACACACACACACACACACACACACACACACACACACACGGTTTCAAATGTTACTTGGAAAGGTAGAACCAAATCATTGACTGGATTTAAAAAAAATTTTTTTTTTTAAGAGACGGGTACTTTGGGGTGGGGGGGATTGCCGTAATACCACCTACAAGATTTTTTTTTGTTTATTTTAGAGTTAAAATACATTTTTTGATGGGTAGCGATGTGGCCAGATTACCCGTAAAGTGGTGAAAGGGCGTGTGTACAGACACAAAGCCATTTCCACCTGAGCTTTGTCAATTAATTTCTCTTATTTATAGCTCTGGATGATGATGATGATGATGATGATGATGAGTTTTAGAAGGTATTTCCATTCTGGCTATTTGGAGAGAACTTCCCTTCTGCTGATAATTCGTTCCCTGATAAGATAGAAGCAGGGGGAACTGTTTCTAATTCCTGTCCAGCACTAATTATTATGGACAAGTTGACCGTTGAAGTCCTGGGCTTGGGAAGGTTGGGTGTGCAAACCGTGCTCCTTTCAATGACAAAATCAATTCCCACATGTTGGGTATGAGCCCGCCCTTTGTTTGGGGGTGGGGGGTGGGGGGAGGGAGGAGGGCAAAAGGGAGTCCTAAGAAATTCAATAAATGGGATTTCAATCTCAAGAAAAGCAGAAATATAATCTGCTGCCCTCACCTCTCAAGAGATTGCATACTGAGGGTCACGACAAAGCTGCTTACGTTGGAATGTGCAGCGCACCTTCTTACTTCACCGCCTCTTTCCGCCATGCGGTTTCTCCACACCAACCCAGGGATGCCCTGGGGTCAAATGCTAACGACACTAACAAATCCAGAGCAACTTTCCGCTGAAGGACATGCGCTGTTACTATACATACATACTTTAAAACATTGGTTAAAAATACGCACGGTGGTGGTAGAGCTTTTAACTCTAGGTGAGGGGAATCGCCCCCTCCACCCCACCCTCAGGGAAAGCCAACGAAAAGGTGCACCGCTGTCCTTAGAAATTTTCCTTTGATTTCACATAAAAACCTCTCCAGGAGGCCTTGGGAACAGCACAAGGGAGGGGCTGAGTGATTAGAATGGGGAGAAGTGGAGGACGATTTCATGTTAAAATATAGATTTTCCTCCTGGAAATTAGAATGATTGCCATGGCAGGCAGAGGTGCGCGTCCGCTCTTCCTGGAAAGTTTCCCGCCTGGTTCACAGGAGGGCACGAAAGTCATCGCCTGGCACCGCCGGCTCACCCTGCCTCAGCTGTCTGGCTTGTGCACGCGTGCACCGTGTCACCTGACCGCTCACCCCCGGTCTCTGATTTCCCCACAGGATGAGGGAGTGGTGGGTGCAGGTGGGGCTGCTGGCGATACCCCTGCTGGCGGCCTACCTATACATCCCGCCCCCCAAGTTCTCCCCTGCGCTCCACTCCTGGAAGCTGTCCGGCAAATTCTTCACCTACAAGGGACTGCGCATCTTCTACCAAGGTAAGGACGGGGCCGCCGGACCCCCTGTGCACACAGGCCCCCCGAAAGGGGTCCCTCTTAGGTACATATTTTGTGTCCGTTGGTCTCCAGGGGCCCTCAGTGATGGAGGGGGAAACCCCACTTTTCCAGGAAGTGTGCCTGAAGGCGTGGACGAAGCCCCTTGGTAGCAGGGAAACGGGAAGGAAATGCAAAGGAAAACTGGGGGGAGGGCGTGGGTGGGAAAGTGGAGATTTCAATCTCTGTAGAACTGACCTTTTACTGTAATTTTTCATAGCCAATTTGAATTGATGGGTGTTTTTCCCTTTGGAGCGCCCCTAGTGTCGGGCAATATAAACATTATTCATAGATACGCTACCATTGATTATCTCCCCCTCCATTCCTGATTTCCTCGTTTTCTATCAAGATAGTTATATGCATAACTATGATTTAAGTCTTACACCTTTGTATACGTTAATGTGCTAATAATTATTGTTATGACTGCTACTTATCAAGTAATGACCATATGCCAGGCATTGAATTATATTTTCAATATTTATTAATTCATTTAATCTCTATAACAGTAATTGGAGATAGGTGCCATTAACCTCATTTTATAGGTAAAGAACCTGAGAAACAAAATTGGGAAATATTTCTTTTGGGCGGGGGTCAAGAGCAATAACGAAAAATGTTTGTCATAAACCGTTTTTCATTATTGCTCCTGACCTCCTTTCATTTGCTATCTTCAATTAGGTAAGTATATAATTTTCTTTGTATTGGTCATTTAGGTGGTTTCCAATTTTTCAATGTTTTAGTTAACGTCGAAGGGAAATCTTTATATATGTTTATTTTTTCCTTATGTTTTCATACTATACTAGTTGTAAATAGAATGCTTCTATTTGCATGAATTTAAAGAATAAGATGTGTAGGGTAAAATATAAAATTTTAAATTGCTTCTAAATTCTTTTGCAAACCTTATTTTCAAATTCTCATGCCATTGGCAGTATATGAATACATCAATTTTAATATAATATTATCAGCAATAACAATATTATTGCTGATAAATGTTAAACATTTAAATACTTAAATGTTTAGCTACTTTAAAAGATGTTTATTAAGAAATGTTCCTATTTATATTGACTAATCCTAATTTATAGTTAAGATTTTACAGTAGTTTGAACATGATGCTTTTGATATTGGGTTTTGATAATAATATCCTCTCTGGGAAATAAAAGTGTGGGACAAACAGTATGAACCAAGGTGCTCACAAGGTGGAGGAAGAGTTGCTAATATTTTAGAGAATTTTGTGAGGTCATTAATGATAGGGTACAAAGAACTTATAGTTTATATATTGTGATCATATATGCTTAACTGTGAAAGTTTACTTTTTAATGTGAAAAGCAATTTACATATTAATAATACACAATGGGAGAAATACTTTTAAAAAATCGGTGAAATTAAACAGGCTCCCTTTTAAATATTTTCATATAAAAGTGTCCTATTTATATTTTTTTAATATACAGATTTAGAAAAACTCCCATTTTTACCTACGAAATCTATTTTTAAAACTAATGAACGTGGGCGGGATTTCTAAACCTTTATATCACATTATGTAGGTTTTATTATCTTCAAGGTGATTTCTATAGGGAGTTGGCCTGACCCGTCTCTCTCCTTCTTCCTAGACTCTCTGGGCGTGGTTGGAAGTCCCGAGATAGTCGTGCTTTTACACGGCTTCCCGACCTCCAGCTATGATTGGTACAAGGTAAGGAAGTCAGACTTTCCAGGTCCTACTACGTCTTTAAAAGTCCAAAGTCAAGGACTTTGTTATCAGCACGGAAAGGCTCTTACACATTTGAATTAATGAAATGGGATTAAGTGTAGAATTGTTTTTCCTTTACTGTAAGGGAGTAAAAAACACTGTTTGGCCAAGTTAAAAATGCCAGAGTCCCCCCCGCAGTAGAGACTGATTGTGGAGTAAAGCCCCTGCAAGAGGATCGCCTGCAGCCTGCGGTGGTTTCAGGGGGATTTTCCCTCCATGGAAGTCTGTTTGTTAAGCGGGGAAAGGGATGAAACCCTTATGCTGCTGGAGGTGGGAGGGGAGGGGCAGGATCAGAGAGACCTAATCATCCCTTTCTTCCTCGTAGATTTGGGAAGGCCTCACACTGAGGTTTCACCGAGTGATCGCCCTCGATTTCCTAGGCTTTGGCTTTAGCGACAAACCGGTAAGCGGCTTCTGGATGGGACCAGTGTTGAGGGACAGGGGTGGGCGAGATGGAGGGCTCAGCCGCAGACAGACCTGCACTCCTGACCGCACCCCGTGTGTCTGGCTTCCTTCCCCCAGAGACCGCACCACTACTCCATCTTCGAGCAGGCCAGCATCGTGGAGGCGCTGTTACATCATCTGGGCCTTCAGAACCGCAGGATCAACCTTCTGTCCCACGATTATGGGGACATCGTGGCTCAGGAGCTGCTCTACAGGTCAGTGGAGCCGCTGCACTCACTGAAGACGCTGGGGAAGGGAATCGCTCCCGGGGGGGGGGGGGGGGTGTTCTTTCTAGCCCCTCTGCCTTTTGGCAGTTTGTCTTCAGCTGCCGCGTTGGTGCGTGCCCGCTCACTCAGGTGCGTTTGCCTCCTGTCTCCAGGTTCAAGCAGAATCGCTCTGGTCGGCTTACCATCAAGAGTCTCTGTCTGTCAAACGGAGGTAATGGCCGTGGCAGTGGTGGGAGGAAGGTGACGAGGGCCACCGGTAGGTGTCAGTGACACCCACGTGGTCCTCGGATGGTATCATCGCACACAGACAGTTTAACTGGGGGATCTTTACCTTTTTTTACGCCATCAGTCAATTGGTGGTCTGATGAGCTATAAAGACCCTTTCTCAAAATAAAGTTTAAAAAACACATAATAGAATTACAAAGGAAATTATAGTGCTATTCAGTTGATAAAAAGCTGTGTTGTACATATGTACTTTTAAAAAACACTGATTTGACAGAAGCATCATTCTTTGGTTGATTTGGTGACCCAATGGCATACGGAGATGGCGTTTTAACCAACTTAGCTACTCCGCCTAGATGCATTTTTTTGTTTGTTTGTTTTGTTTTTAAGGACCTACACCCACTTCCTGAAAAATCCCTGATTTCTTTTTCTGCCCCAATCATTAACAACACCGCTCTGAGCCTCGCCATCAGCTGGCTGGTCACCTTTACAATCAGAGCAATCCCAGCAGGGTAGAATTTGTTTGACCTGCTAACCCTAAAATTCCATGGGGAAGGAATTGGATGGCAATACTAACTTATTTATAATTAGTTTTGTAGCAGTAAAGACCCCAAAGGTGACAGTGAGTAGGATAGGTCTCCGATAGGGGACCTATGTTTGCCTTGAAGTTGCTGGAAAATGACTAATGTAAGTCTCTTCTTTTCCTCCAGGTATATTCACCGAGACACACCGCCCTCTCCTCCTCCAAAAGGTTGGCTCCTCCACTGACTAGATCGTAGCTCTTAAGATTTATACTAACATATGTAATACCTTAATCAATAAATTAAAAAAAAGATTTATACTAACGTGAACAATGCTAAGACCTTTAGAAGGGCCATTTCTGTCGTAAAAGGCCGCAGATAAAATCCTTCTTGTCAGTTTACATTAGAAATTAGTTTTTCCCTTCTTATGAAAATATGAGCAATAGTATTTGGAGAAGTACAGTTACCTCAAAGATTTGTCATCAGCATGCTGTTTGACAAATTGGAACCTCAGTCTGAAGTTAAAGGTCTTGGGATTTAGTGACATGTAGAAATGGAATCTTAAAGGGAATTAGAAATAGTTTGCTTTCTACGAGGGAACGTGGGTTGGCAAAACAAAAAACTAAAAGCCAATGGCCAAGCCTTCCAGTAGATTTGGCTAAAGTTTTTTTTTTTTTTTTTTTTTTAATTCTTAGTATAAAACTCATTGTCCTGGTTGTGTTGTCTCTGGATTATTGACTTTTACTTATCTACTTATAGATTCTCAAAGACGGAGGCATGCTGTCGCCCATCCTCACACGAATGCTGAACTTCTTTATATTCTCTCGAGGGTAAGTCATTGTCAAAGCCTGGTTCACAGCCTGCTGGGGTTTGATATTTTAAAGCAAAGGTGTTAGCCACTTGCCAGGAAAGGAGTAGATGGAATTCATGAATCAGTTAAGGGTCAAACTACATGATGCTCAAGGTTCCAATCATATTTGACATCCTAAACTCTTCTTATACTTACCTTTCTGCTCTTTTCCCCCTCTTTCAGTCTTGCCCCTGTCTTTGGGCCATACACCCGGCCCTCAGAGAACGAGCTGTGGGACATGTGGGCAGCGATACGCAACAATGATGGGAACTTAGTTATCGACAGGTAAGAAATGACTCTCTGCTTTGGTTTTCCGAGGCTTTTTTTTTTTTTTTTTTTTTTTTTTTTTTAATATGGGATTGCTTGTTCTGTTCTTGGCTGGCTCTACTGTCCCAGAAGGAGGTTGGTTATAACTTATGAGGTACACCAAAAACAGTCATGCTCTGTACTTACTCAGAGGAAAGAAATCCAGCATAGAGTGAGCCCTGAGGAGAAGCAATGTGGCACACAAAGTTTGCAAAAACAGCCGCAAATTCTCATGCTAATTCAGCTGTAATTGCTGATTGGCTTTGGCAAATCCTTCTGACTTTTTGTTAATATTAAATGCTTCAACGTGTCTAATCATAGGTATGAAAGGCATTTAGTGCCTTCCTCAGGGTACCAGCCTCTTTCTTCTTCATATCTCTTCTGTAGCAACAGGGACCGGAGGGAGATTTCGCGGTCTTGTACCAAGACTTCCCACGCCCTTGGTTCAGATGCTTTCTTCGAGGGGCTGGAGGTGGTGATGTCCATAGCTACTCGAGATAAGGCCAGTCCTCTGGCCAGCTCGGTCAGTGTAGCTTCCATGGCTTTAACTGACGGCTTTGCTGGGAATTGTGAGGGGGAAAGAGCCATTCTTCCCTCCCACCCCAGCTCGGTCCCCAGCAGGGGGCATACGGAAGGCAGCTGATCAATGATTCTCATCATTGATGTTGCTCCCTTTATAAAAAAAATTGCAAAACAAAACCCCCCCTTTTTTTTTTAAACTCAACTATCACTGTTAGAAATAATTCCTGGAGTTTCCAGGCAGAATAACTAGAATATGAGTTTGAGTTCTAAAATGTGGCTATGGCTGCTTGTCTCTGTTGGAGAAATTCTCCATTTTTATCTGTGGTCAGATGAAATGCAGAGAATGGAACTTTGTGCTTAGAACGTTAGAAGTAGATGCCAATTTAGCGATCGTGTAGTTCAATTCTCTTATTTTTAAAGAGGAGGAAACTGGTCAAAAGATGTGTGTTTGACCTTTGAGTTACAGAATTAGTGGTGGAGGCACAATCTGAGCCTGGCCTTTCATTACACATAACCCAGGCTGACTCCCAGCCTTCCTCCCTCCCAGTTCCTGTTTGGCGAACACTAAGGAACATTAATTCTTATGTTGTTAGTAGGCATGCTGACTGCTGCAGCCGCACGGAGGTTAATCGTAGAGGTGAACAGGAATGAGTAAACTCAGCCGGCCAGTCCCAGGTGTGCAAGTTGCTTGGGTTCCTTGTGGCTCATGGCAGGCCTTTGTGCCCCTCTAACCATACGAGTTTCTTCCTCTCCTGCTGACTTACCTGTCCTGCAGTCTCTTGCAGTACATCAACCAGAGGAAGAAGTTTAGAAGACGCTGGGTGGGAGCTCTGGCCACTGTGACTATTCCCAGTGAGTATTTCCATATTACATCTTGATAGGAAAACTGAGGGACGAGGGTTAAAATAATTGCCCCATTTAGCAAATATAAATAAAATAAAGACATCAAACTACATTTGAATTTCAGGTAAACAACTATTTTTTTTTTTAAGGAAAAATATGTGCTGTGCTATATGTAGGACATACATTAAAAATTAAAAAAAAAATAAAAAACACTAAAAAACCACAGCTCAGCCAGTATGGCTCAGTGGTTGAGTATCAACCTATGAACCAGGAGGTCATGGTTCAATTCTCATTCAGGGCATATGCCTGGGTTTCAGCTCGGTCCCCAGTAGGGGGATGTACAGAAGGTAGCCAATCAATGATTCTCATCATTGATGTTGCTCTCTTCCTCTCTGAAATCAATAAAAATATTTAAAAAAATCATTATCTGAAATGCAGCTGGCCATGCTTTATTTAATCAGGCGACCCTCTCCAACATCTGGAGCACGGGTTCTGGGCTATAGAGGGAAGCATATAAAGCACTGAGATACTGTTGCTAAGGTAACGACCATAGCACGGCCTGGAGGAGTTAGATTGGTTTCCTGCCGTGCATTACCGGTGACATCACATTAAATGCTGAATTCTGGGACAGAAGCTGTTTAAATTACTAATCAAGAACCTATAGGTGGTTTCTGCTCATTTGTCCCTTAACTCTTATACATTGAAAAAGCTGAAACCGGTTTGGCTCAGTGGATAGAGCGTCGGTCTGCGGATTGAAAGGTCCCAGGTTCGATTCCGGTCAAGGGCATGTACCTTGGCAGCTGATCGATGTTTCTCTCTCATCGATGTCTCTAGCTCTCTGTCCCTCTCCTCACCTCTCTGTAAAAAATCAATAAAATATATTTAAAAAAAAAGAAAAATAGGTGCCGTGTCTCATATAAAAGTTAGTGTTCAGAAACCAGAGGATGTCAAGGGTCATTTATTGCTGAGAGATAGACTTTCAGAATGACATTTCCTGGAGTTAGGGAGAGAGAATGCTGCTCGGGGCTGGATGGCTGGCTGTGTACAGAGAAAATGTCCCAAGTGGACTCAGTTGTCAGCTTATTCCCGGAAGTTTCTAATAACCTACTTATTGAAAGCAGCCAGATTTTTATCATAATTTGTTCTGGAGGGGTCGTTTTAGTCTAGGGTAGGATGGATGCGCAAGCTATTAGTAATTAGATCCTTTTCTCGTTTCCAGTTCATTTTATCTACGGGCCTTTCGATCCGGTGACTCCCTACCCAGAGTTTTTGGAGCTGTACAGGTGAGCCTCCCTCAGTGGCTGGTCATCCAGGAAACGTATGATAAAAGATGAGCTGAGGAATATTATTCTCACATAAATGTAAAGTCAGAAAATTGTTATACATTCTCTTGAGTTATACAGCCTATTTTTACTGTGTGTGTATATATATGTATATGTACATATGTATATATGTACATATACATATATTTATATATATTTATGCATAATTGTTATATACTCTCTTTAGCCTGTTTTTATTGTATACATGCTACATGTGGACAGGTAAGAAAATGCTATTATGTGAAATAAGGAATGGAAGTGTGTAAAGTTGATAAAAAATGTTTGCTGTAGTCTCATTGCAAAAGCCAGCTCAACAGCTTAAGCTGAGCACCTGCAGGGAGAGATGGAGAGGAGCTCACAGAAAAAGTGCCTCCTCACTGGTGGTCATTTTCTCTAGGTACTTACTTACTCAGAAGGTTGGACTATGAAATCCTGACAAGATTTTGTTTTGTTCCATAAGAACGTTCCATCCTTCATATGGCCTAGTAGAAATAATCCAGTTGTAAAAAGCTTGCATTTAATTTTCAACAAAATACCCTCTCTCATCTCTCTTGGTTAAGGTCTTTCGTTATCCTTACCTGGACAGTGGTCCATTTATTGGATGCCTCACGCTTCTCTAAGGAGCTCGAAGTCATCCGGCTTTGACATGTATTGCAAAAGTGTTTTCTTTTTAAGTGGTTGTCTGTTGGCTTATGAACATGTAAGACCTAGTCTGTATATAGTCATAAATGGAATTGGTACGTTTACCTGCCTAAGACACAATTCCAAAATAGAAGCTGAATAAGCTCTTTGTTGGTTCCTTCCAGTGTGGTATGTCCGCAGGGACATTAACTAGGGTTGCCCACTGGCTTACCTCCTCCCCCTACCTCCAGCCTCAAGTTCACGTACGTGCTGTTCTCTTCCACTAGGAAAACGCTGCCGCGGTCCACAGTGTCGATTCTGGATGACCACATTAGCCACTACCCACAGCTAGAGGATCCCATGGGCTTCTTGAATGCATATATGGGCTTCATCAACTCCTTCTGAGCTGGAGAGAGTAGCTTCCCTGTGTTACCCACCCTGCTCCCTCACCTGTTGTGTATTCCATTTAGAAAGAAATGCCCCAAAGAGGTCCTGGCCACCAGACACTTCTCACAAAGGTCCACCTGACTCACATTGGTGAGCAGCATATAGGAAAAAGCCAGTTGAGGTCTGATTAAGGGTGACCTGATAGTCCATCTCCCGTTCCTTTGACATCTGATCAAGTGGATGGACTTGCCTTTGTGTTATTGGGAAAGTCTGATGGATGCAGAGAGACAAATACTCTTTTGCATAAGACTTTCAACATTTCTGTGGACTTTTCTGAAATACTTAGAAGTGTCTAATTTCTGGCCCAGCCCCAATTGGAATCTTGTACAGAATGAGGAGAGGCTGGCTGCTTAGCCTCTCCTTGAATGGCGTTAGGGGCACATGCTTTTTTGTTTTCTAAGCAGCTTCAGGAGAGAGTGCATCTCCCCTGTCATAACTTTGGCTTAGTTTCCTCAGCTGCATCTAGTTGTAGACGTTTTGTTAAAATAGATTTTGCTTTACATAATGCAGCTTTCCATAATGCAGTATTCTAAGTGTACTTTACGACTGTGATTTACTGACACGTGTTGTATCTATTGTAGAAGGGTACTACACCAGCAGACACTCACTCTGGCAGAGTAATGAACCTTATCAAACATATTTGACTTTGGAATAAGTTAAACTAAATCCAAACTTAAAAAAATCTCCCAAAAGTCACAGGACATTAAGGACCACCACATCTCCGCCAGAGATTTACTGTTATTAGCTGGAAAGACCCAGTTCTAACAGCAAATAACAGTCTGCTTCATCATACCTCATTGCTTCAAAGCACATCCCTCCTGAGCTAACGTGGAGGGGAGGGGAGCGTTGTGCAGTCCCAGTTCCCACGCTGAGGGCACACGGATTCCTTTTGTTAGGAGTGCTTACTTCTCACTGGTTGTCCCAGAGAGGCTTCCTCATGTAGCTCTGCAATTCCTGTTCTTTATAGACAGGAAAGTTCCAGAAACTTTAAGAACAAATTCTGAAAGGCCTGTGAGAAAAAGGTGCTGAATACTTTTTTTAAAGTCACAGTTTTTATTGTTTTAGTCTAAGTAGGATTAGGTGATTATTTTAAATTCTTTTTTTTAAAATTAGCAACTTCAAGTATAACAATTGAAAGTGGAATAAGTGTTTATTTTCTATTAATAAAATGAATTTTGACAAAAGTGGACTCTGCCTTCCCCTCCCCACCATCCCTCCGGGATAAAGTTTTCCAACATTGCCAGGAGCTTTCATACACATTCCATTAAAGAATATAATGAAGTTGAGCAGCTGGGGTATAGGATAGTTATTTTGCTTTACATGTTCACCCAAAGCTGTACTGTCACACCAAAGTCGACCAATGGAACAAAAAGGAAAAAAAGACAAAAAAAAAAAAAAAAAAGAAAGACATGCACAAAGACAGACGTTTGCTTGATCTGCTGGCTCAGGGCCAAACATTTAATTAGCTTCTCCAGAATCATTAATCTTTAGAAGCGGGATTCTGGGAAATTCATGCCATTAGCCTAAAGCCCACCGACAGTGAAGTACATCAACTTCATCCTGCCCAGTAAGCACTTATCCAACAGAAGCCAAGATCACATCCACAGGTGTTTCCTCTTGGCTTCTGACAGTCACCTGCATGGTCACTCCATCCGCTAAGGCCAGCTTGGCCCTCACCAATAAATCATAGCCACCTCTGTATACACCTGCGAGGACAAAGTGAGGAAAACCATGTTGAGGACTCAAACTGACTGATGAAATTATTTCATCATGCTCTGCTTGCGTTTCCTTTCTATTTTTTTGTTTACCTTTGTGTTTATGGTAGGAATTGCATCCTACATACAAATTTGAAATAACCTTTTATATTCCCATGATACCAGGTACATAGAAGGTATTAAAAATACTGGTTTCGAGTACTTAAATGGGCGAGGTAGTGGCACTAGTATCCAGGGGAGAGATTTAAGTGTTTTAGGCCAAATATACATCTTAAAAGGACAAACTAAGGATAGCATGCAAATTAAACAGCTAAAACAAATTGCTCATTGTGACAGGGCTTCAAATTGTAATACATACAAGGGACAAAGGGCAGGACAATGGCAGCCCTTTCTATTAAACCTTGCAACAAGATAAAGGGAAATCCGATAAAGTTCCTTACCTGCCAGGAAGAGAGAATGGGAATTCTTATTCTCGGGAACTTTCTCTGATCTTTCACATGGCTGCATGCCCAGGAATGTAATGATGTTGTTGACAGCTTCTGTGTTGACAAGATGGAAGCCACAGTATTAGGAAAGGTCAGCACGGGGGTCTGCCTCGGCATCACTACACACTGGGAGCTGGGGCTAGAAGGGCGGTGCCACAGTGGATGGAGGCCACCGGGCCAGAAACTGGTTGACTCAATTAGATGACAGGGTCCTAGCCTTTTAGGTGACTTAGTTTATGCAGCATCAAAACTAAGTGTTGTGGAATGATGCATATGCCTCTTGGGGTTTACACTGTTGTCAGGCAACACATTGCTAGCAAAACTGTTCTCACCTTGAAGAGTTTTGGTAGAACTGAGGGCAAAGGTCTCCTGTTTCTCAAAAGTATCTCCTACTTCTTCCCAGGCAGCAGCAAAGTTGGGCTTCATAACTTTCTGAATGTGGTCAGACACAGTCACTTCCAAATCTTCCAGCTAGTGGGCACAGGCAGGGGTCAGTAAGCAATAGTTCTCTAAGGGCAGGACAAAGTGGGAGGGGCTAAAAGGGTATTATCATTCTGAGATCATCCTGTGCAGGAGCTTAGGAAACACTATTACCAGACTAGTTCAAGTCCATAGTCTGGATAAAGATGTAGGGCCTTAGCAAAGAAAAGCAAGAAAATATAGCAAAAGCAATATTCAGATCAACATCTACACATTTGAGGTACAAAACAGTCATGAGGTCACACCTAACCATCAAGTTCAAGCCACCCAGGGCCTTCTGCATTCTATGCAGTCACTCAGTCCATGATGTAGCCACATTACAAATTAAAAACTTCTCAACAAAACAATCCCAATACTTTAAATAAATCTCATGGATCTCAATGAAAGTCATGTACTTATTTTCATCTTGTAATTACCCTTATTATAAAGACATAGAAAAGGGTGAGTTGTTTTAATCAGGAAGCGGTCACTACCCTTAGGCACGACATACTCCCACCGCAGAGGAGAGTTAATCCAGGCCCACGCAGTTGTAATGTGAGGAAATAAAACCCCCTTGGTTCATGTCAGATGTCCCTAGAAAAATGTTCTCTTCAGGCAGAAGTCAGCGGTGCAAGGGTGTCCAGGTGACTGTGCAGGCGACACTCACCACATACTCATCCTCATAGCCCTCCTCAGTTGGAACTCCCGAGTCAGGGTCACAGTCCCGGACAGTAAACTTCAAGGTGCAGCTAAAGGTGCTGGCAACTGGAGGAGAAAGAGCAGGCAGACCAGTGTCAGTGGGCAGCGCAAGCACAGTTTCCCTGGTCACTGAGGGGGCACCACCTGCACTTGGCACACGGTTCTGTATCATCAAGCGAAGCACACACCACTGTTTTCAGAGTAGTACTTGAAAGCACACTGTATACTGGTCAAAAGGCAGTCTCACAAAGTATCATTTTAAAATCCACTCCCCACTGTGGGCTAGAATAGCACAAAAAAGACATTGGCAAAACTTTATTTTTGTAGTAGTATAAAGGAAGCAGCAGGGGAGCTTTCTGCCAATGCCTGTCAAATGGGGACTACATGTGGAAAATATAAGAACCACTACTCTAGCAGATGACAAAGCAAAAAAAAAAAATATGGATAGTAAAAAGCACACTGATCATTAACACAAAGCACAATAAGTCTAAATATCGACAGATACTAGTTTTAGATTGTGGGTCCACAGATCACTAGAATGAACTTGCTTTTTTTTTGGTCAACTTTCAACCTTCAGTGAATAGGTTAGCAAGGAGGTGCTAGTATTGGTAGTCAGTGTCTTCAATGCAAAAGCAAGTGGGTAATTAATATGTTTTGAGGTAACTGGAGGAAATAATTAGAAATGGAGGTAGGGACACATTTTTGGAAAGTGAACTTCATGAAAAGGGGACTTTCTGAACCGCCTGAAGGAGGGGGTTTTTTAAGTATGGGTGAATTAATTGGATCTCAAAAGATGTGAAAGAGCTTCAGTGAGCAGAGCAAGATACATGAGCTAAAGGAAAGGGGCTAGAAAGGCTGGGGGTAGATGGAAATCAGAGAGATGCTATTGCACAGGTGCTGAGAAGAGAGACTGTTTAGGAACATACTTGAAATACTAGGGGACTAGATATTTTCCAATAGGTTCTGGTGAGCTTAGGCAGTCCTAAGAAGAATAGGTCTGAATTTAGAGAACAAACAAATGTAGTAGAATGCATTGAAAATGATGGTGGTGAATTGACCCATATAGAAAGAGTATACCTTTCAAGATGACAGAATCTATTTTTGTTGTTAATCCTCACCCAAGGATATTTTATTCCCATTGATTTTTCGGGAGAGTGGAAGAGATAGGGCAAGACAGAGAGAAAACATCACTGTGAGAGAAACACATTGATTGGTTGCCTCCTGCACGAACCCTGACAAGAGCTCAGGCTGGGGAGGAGCCTGCAACCAAGGTACATGCCTTTGACCTCAGTCGAACCCAGGACCCTTTGGTCTATAGGCTGACACTCTTTATCCACTGAGCCAAACCAGCTAGGGCTACAGAATCTATTTTAATGCAATAGGGGACAATAGGAGGTTGATGGAAGAAAGACTGTGATTAAATTAAGCTAGAGTTTTCTGTCAAGAAAGCAGGAAGAAGAAAGAAAAAGGTGTAAGTTAACACAGACCTGGAATAGCTCAATTGAGGTATTTAAAACAAAAAATGAGATAGAGGGGATTATGGTAGGGACAAAGGTCAAGATCAAATAAAAATGGAGAGGCAGGCCGAACCTGTGTGGCT